ATATATATATATATATATATATATAGGGAGTGGTTCAAATGAGAACCCAAAAAAGTTAAGAACCCTAAGAACCATTTTTAAAATGTTTTCATTAAAGGTATTTTGGACAAATCAAACATTAATATTATTTTAAACAAACTTTTCCGTTCCCTAGTTTACAAAAGTTTTCACTTGTTGTCGGATCACCGTCGGACCACCGCCAGACCAACGCCGGACGGCCGTCGGAGTAACACCAAATTTAGTGACATTTTTCTGACTGTATTCACAGCTTAATAGAACAAACAGTTTGGCTCCTATTTCTTTGGTAATACTTTTTAACACATACAATTTTATTTTTGCAGCCAAATATATAAAATTTAATAAAAAAATAAAATTATGCCTTGACAGTTTTAATTTTCTCTCATCAAAATATCATATTCACACTTTAATAAACATATTATTTCACTAATTCACAGTCTATTATTTTCATGCATATATTTATTCATACTTTAGAACAAAATTTATATAAAATATACACTTTAATACAATTCATTCTCAGTTTAATACATAAAATTCATAAATTAATACAATTCATATACACGAATATACATATTCAGATAAGTCAAATGAAAATTTTGACACCACCTAGTACCACATGCCACCAGCAACCAGTCGTGCCACCGTCACATCCATTATTCCTTCTAAATCAGATCTGTATATACAATCATATATATAAAATCATAGATTCACAGGTTAAATATTATATTCACAGTTTAAGAAACCATATAATTCACTAATTTTGAGTTTAATGCAAAATAATAATAAAAACTAATACATTTTTACATATTTATACAACAGAAAAAATAAATATATTCATAAGAAAATCAATATAAACATACTTAAATAAAGCATTCATATTTTAACACAAAATTCATTAAAAATTCACAATTTAATACAGTCAATTAACAGTTCAAACAGAAAATTCACAGCTTAATGCAATTAATTCACATTTTTAAACACAAAAATAACAATTTAATACAAAAAATTCACAACTTAATATAGTTAATACAATTTAATCAAAAAATTCACAGATAATGCAGTTAATTCACAGTTTAAAACATAAAAATCATAGCTTAATACATAAAATCACAACTTATTACAATAAATTCATAATTTAATACACAAAAATATAAATTCACAGCCATATTATCAACTTAAAACTCTTAATACAGTTAATTCAAAGTTTAATATACAAAATTCACAGCTTAATACAGTAAATTCACAATTTAATACACAAATTTGCAACTTAGTATAATAAATTTGTTGTTTAATACACAAAAATTATACATTCATTATTATATTCTCAAATTAAAACTCACATTTCAAAATTTTAATTCACACTTTAATAAAGCAGTTTATGACACTCATTTATAGTGTTCACAACTTAAAGACACTTTTCAAATTTTATAATTTTCATTCGCACAAATCATCAAACACCTTGTGTGCATCAAAAAAACCATTCATAATACTTATACAACTCAGATTATTCATAAATACAAAAAAAAATCACAGTACCATTTAGGTTATTCAAATATTAATACATAAGTATATACACTTATTCACAACTTAATGTACAAAAAACACTATTTACAGTTTCAAATTTTCATTCAGGCAAATCATCAAACACATTGTGTGCATCATGAAATGATTCTTGATTTTGATTTTTACTAAGCCTTTAACACGTAATAGGTAGCAATGATGGAGTAAGATGTATAACACAATAAATAAACATGAAAATAATTGTACAGAGGTTAAAAAAACACTCATATGAGCCTCATCATAATGTACCTGATGTGAAGAAGATGATGAGTGACACATCAGTTGTAACAACACCACCAAATCTTATCGATCTAGCTTTGCTACTCGCAAGATCTCACAGATCTGGTCTCGTCGGATGTTGATGCTCCTGTAACTCGCCTCGTTAATCGTCAGTGACATTGTAGTCGTCGTTGTTGGTGGCGATTAGTGGCAGAAATTACAAATCTGGAGGAGGAAGACACTACTGGTGGTTCTACAATGGTTGAATGGTGGTGGATCTCATAGATCTAGAGCAGAAATCGCACATCTAGATGGCGACACCGGTGCCAGCTTGGATTCCATCGGAACTCCTTTGTCTGAACATTAGATTTCCTCGTAAATCCTTCCACGTCTCGAGATCCCATCAGAACTCCTTCCACATCACGAGATCTAGCTGAAAAACTTGTAGATCTGAAGGAGGAAATTGTAGATCTAGCGTCAAAAATCATAGATCTAGAGCCGGATCTCGTAGATCTGCAGAAAAGAGTGTGTAGAAGCAGTGGCGATGGATGTTCAGACATGAAGGGGGTGGTAATGACGTGACATCGAAGGTAGGAGGAAGATATTCTGATCAGAATATGAGAAAACACACCATATCGGAGATACTAGCGGTGTTGGAGACATTGACACTGGTGGTGGTGGTGGTGAAGTCGTCGTCACTGGTGGTGGTGGTGGTGCAACAGCCGATGACAGTGATGATGTTCATCAAATTTGTGGTTGAAGGATATAAATGAAGGTTTTTGCTCTAAATGTTAAAAGGGGAGAATTTGAAGTTAATAGGTCTTAGATGCATCAGGTAATGGTTCTTATGGTTCTTATTCTTTTTTGGTTCTCATTTGAACCTTTACCTATATATATATATATATATATATATATATATACTAATTTAGAAGTACTAGATGAACAGGACTTCCCTGTGATTGGTGGGTTTTTTCTTATTTGTTTTGCTTTATTTTTTATTATTTATCCATATTTATCTATTATAGTGGATTACAGGTGTAATGAGCTGTGTTTATACCATCTACGTGGTCGTTTTTTGTCATCCCACCGCTTCTGATCTCGATTTCCACAAAATTTCCACCGCCTTATAAGTTCCTCCAACCCCTTCTCACCAGGACACCCTTCTTCCATAGCTACTATCACACTTGAAACTTGATAATGTTGTTATTTAGTCTCCACCTCCTTAGGATCCCAAAAGATTTCATTAAGTCAACAGTATTACGTTCCTTCCGAAATATTTCTCGACCGTACTCTCTTATACTATCTTGATTTCATCATCATATCACCATTTTTTCCAATTAGATCATTGACTCAGCTTCGAGTGTCATCAATCATATCTAAGTATTTACTTTCATCTAAATATGGAATTCGTGATTCCATTCCATTCTTTTCTTGATC